CAGATAGCCATCAGTTTGCTCTCTATGGTTAAAAGAATCTGTTTCTTGGTTTGCCTCTTCTTCCCCTCTATGTTCATTTGTTCTGTTTCTTAAATTCCACACATGAGTGAAATCATATGGTATTTGTCTTTCTCTGACTGACTTTCTTTCACTTAGCAAAATATTCTGTAGCTCCATCCACATCACTGCAAATGGCAAAATCTCATTCTGTTGATGACTGAGTAATATTCCATTGTATATATATACCACATCTTCCTTATCCATTCATCCAGTCAGTGGACATTTAGGCTCTTTCCATAATTTGTTATTTTAAATAATGCTGCTATAAACATCGAGGTGCCTATATCCCTTCAAATTAGTATTTTGGTATCCTTGGGGCAAATACCTACTAATACTAATGCAACTGCTGAATCATAGGGTAGTTCTGTTTGTAACTTTTTGAGGAACCTCCATACTATTCTCCAGAGCAGGTGCACCAGTTTGCATTCTCACCAACAGGGCAAGAGGGTTCCTCAAGAGAAATTTTTAAAACATACTGAATTAAATGGAAAGTGAAACACAACATACCAAAATCTTTAGCATACAACTAAGCAGCACCTACAGGAAATGTACAGCACCAAATGCTTACATTGGAGAAAAGGATCTCAAAAATCCACACTCCAGGCTTCCACTTAGAGCAATTAGAAAAGCAAGAGCTAAATCAACTCAAAACTGCAAAAGAAACAAAATGGTAAAGAGCAGAAATCAAAGAAATGAAAAACATAAAGAAAATATTAAAAAGATCAACAAATAGACATTTTTCCAAAGAAGACATATAGATGGCCAGCAGACACATGAAAGGATGCTCAACATTGCTCATCATCAGGAAAATGCAAATCAAAACCACAATGAGTTATATCACCTCACACCTGTCATAATGGCTAAAACCAAAAACATAAGAAATAACAAGAGATGACGAGGATGTGAAGAAAAAGGAACCCTCATGTACTATTAGTGGGAATACAGACTGGTGCACCAACTGTGAAAAACAGTATGGAGGTTCCTCAATAAATGAAAAATAGAATTATCATATGATCCAGTAATTCCACTACTGGGTATTTATCCAAAGAAAATGGAAACACAAATTTAAAAAGATATGTGCACTCCTATGTTTATTGCAGCATTATTTATAAAAGCCAAGATAAAAGCGATACAACAGAAAATTACTCAGCCATCAAAAAGAATGAAATCTTGCCATTTGTGACAACATGGACGGATCAAGAGGATATAAGACTAAGTGAAATAAGTCAGCTTGAGGAAGACAAATACCATATGATTTCACTCATATGTGGAATTTAAGAAATAAAATAAAAGAGACAAACAAAAAAACACACAGAGAACAAACTGGTGGTTGCCAGAGGGAAAGTGGGCGGGGGATGGATGAAAGAGGTAAAGAGGATTAAGGAGTACACTTACCACGATGAGCACTGACTAACGTACAGAATTGCTGAGTCATTATATTGTACACTAGAAATTAGTATACACTCTATGTTATTACTTGAATAAAAAAATAAAGTGAACCATGATAAATTTTTTAAAAAGATCAATGAAACCAAGCTTCTAGCAAGACAAAGAGAAAGAAAACATGAATTACTAATATCAGGAATGAAAGGGGATTATCTCTACAGCTGCCACAGACATCCAAAAGATAGCAAGGCAATACTCCAAACACTCCATGCACATAAAATCAATAACTAAGATGAAATGGACCAATTCCTCAAAAACCATAAACTACCAAAACTCACCCTGAAAGAAATACAGTTGATCCTTGAAGAAGCCTAGGGTTAAGGATGCTGACCACAATGCAGTCAAAACCCATATAACTTGACTCCCCAAAAACTTAAGTACTAATAGCCTACTACTGTTTACTAGAAGCCTACTGATAATAGTTGATTAACACACACTGTCTTAATAGACAATGTTTAGAATTAAATTTAGTTTATAATTAAACTACATTCTTACAATAAAGTATGATGGAAAAAAGTTATTAATAAAATCATAAGAGAAAATGCATTTACACTACTGTACTGTATTCATCAAAAAAAAAAACAAAAAAACAAACACCCTATATATAAAGTAGACCCATGCAGTTCAAATCCATATTGTTCAAGAGTCAACTGTAGATAAGCTGATTGGTCCTTACTGTTAAAGAAACCGAATTTTCAGTTTAAAAACCTCCCGGGGGGGAAAAAAAATCTCTAGATGCAGATGGCTTCACTGGTGAATACTATCAACACTGAAGAAGAAAATAAAATCAATGTTAAACAATATCTTCTGGAAAAATAAAGAGCAGAGAACACTTCCAAATTCATTTTATGAGACATTACCTGGATACCAAAACAAGACAAAGATAATGTAAGAAAAATACAGAGCAATATAAATGCAAAAGATAAGTGCAAAAATCCTCAACAAAATATTAGAAGTCATAAGCCAGTTAAGTTAGAAATAGCAAAAAGAATTTATACATAAACATACCTACATACACAGACACAGACATGTATAGAGAAAATAAAGGCACACTTCAAAAAGCACTGCAAAGTTAACACTCTTTTCCAAATCAAAATTCTTCCCTTTAAGGGCGAGAAGACCTATTCCTAACAAAACTCTGAATTCTTCAGTATATTTAAGTAAAAAGAATTCATTCCATTAATTACTGTTGGAATAATTAGTATCAGTGCTAATTTACATCCAGCAACATTTTCTTCTCACTCACTAGCTCCAGGAGTTTGCCTTCACGGGGCAAAACCAAAAGAATATACGCCATCCTTCTGGAAGTAGCATTTGGTTCGAGGATGGGCACAAAAGCCAATTTGAGACAAGAAACAATGAGTCAACGAAGTTTCTACGAAAACCAAGTGCTCTCTGCTCTACAGATGTGGTAGTACGTATATATACAGCTTCACACTGAGGCAGCCGTCTTGCCAGGAAGCCAGCCTGAAGATATCAACACACAGAGGAAAACGGAGAAAAGACATAAATAAAAAGCTTAGTTGGACTCCCATCTATGCTAGGACTTCATTGAGCTGATTCAATTTACTTTAGTTTAAGCCATTTTGAAATTGATTTTCTGTTATCTGCACATAAAGAATCCTATGATGCCAAGGACTAACCAGATAGAAGTCAGAGGAATGCTTATTTCAGTTACCACATAAAAGAATTTTTTAATAACTGAAGCTAGTAAAATGGAAAAGAACACGTTTTTAAGTTCTTTTCCATGTAATCTCAAATACTGTAAGTAAAGTTTCAATACTCGCCTGTATGTTCCTACCATAATAGAGAGGCTAGACTTTTGAAGTTTCTTTCAATTCTAAGATTCTGATTCTTAAAGACATACTGAATTTGGGACATCAAATGAGACACTCAGAACTATTACCACTCAGTTAGACTTCTCCTAAAGTAAAAGGAAACAAAACAAAAACAACACAAAACAAAATAGGGGCAACTGGGTGGCTCAGTCAGTTAAGCGTCAGATTCTTGTTCTCAGCTTAGGTTATGATCTCAGGGTTTGTGAGTTCCAGCGTCAGGCTCAGCGCTGTCAGCGAGGAGCCTGCCTGGGATTTTCTCTCTCTCCACCTCTCCCCTGGTTGCTCTCTCTGTCTCTCTCTCTCAAAATTAATAAACTTACCAACTATTTTGCCTAGGACCCGTATCCATTTGACAAATGTTAATACAGTATATGTTCTGAGAAATACAGTCTAAAAAAGAAGTAGAAAATTAACATGCAACTTTTATTTTACACATTTATACTCTAATCCTTTAGAAGGACTAACAGTTTACCAAAGAGTTTAATACTGAAAAAAATATTTACTTGAAAAGAGGATCTAATTTTAATTAACCATTAAACATAAAATGTCTTTTCCTGCACTAATGTCTCACACTGTGGCATCCACAAAACAATGGGAACTTTTCCATTTGTAACCTTTGCTAAGGAAATATGCTTTATTTCATTAGGTGACAGACTCTAAGTTAACTGTATTAAGGTATTTCTGGTGCCTTTGACAACCTAAAGAAAAATTTTTTCCATTATTCCTCGATTCCAACATCTATGAAACCCAAGAGAAATGATCTTTTCAGGCATTTTATGTTTTACAGAAAATAAGCAAGCAACAAATTACAAGAGAAATCATAGCATTAGAAAAACTCTTTCAAATGTCACGCGGAAAAATGCCGTGATTTAGGTTACTGTGGTGGCACATTACAATTAGCAAACATAACTACATTGCATGTAACTAGTACATGTGCCTCCCTACCTCAATATTTTCTTAACTTCACCTATTATTACTTAAAAGATACCCATTACATCAAGAAAAATTGAGAATGCGGGAAAGAGGTGAAGACTGTAATATATAACAGCTTGATGATTCTCAAGACTTATCCTTAGGTTAAGTAAAAGTTGTTAAGTACTTTTTGAAATGGAGAAGTTTAACAAGTAGAAGTGAGCTCAAGAGACCTAGAAAGTTAGAGTGAACTCAGGCTGAACACAGCTCTTCCCCAGACCTCCATCCACAAACAAATGAATCTTTCCCTTGGAATTGTGACTGTACAATATCACCCACTCACCTTACCAACCAAATCACCTTGGGCATGTGACTTTTTTATATATACAGAGCACTACTGCTTTCTTTCACGTCTCTTCCCCCTCATAATGCGGGGGGTATCAGAACTGTGCTGAAGAAAGAGAATTACAAATAGGTACCTAACTTCCCTGACATTAAAGAAAAAAGTGCAGAAAAAGCTTCAAAACACTGATAAATGACTACAACATCTGTAGAGGTAGAAAACCTACCACATTATCTGTATATTCTAAAGCAACTAGCATGAAATCTTGACTGAAGCTTGCAAAAAAAAAAAAAATACATGTTGCTTCAAATTATAATAGAAATGTTCAGGTTTTAGAAAGTACTTAAGAACTTAGATTCCATTTTAAAGATGGATACAGTAGTTAGAAGAGGTAAACTTACCAAAGATATTAGTGGAGTGTCCTTTCCTTGCAATGGGTCTGAGTTCATTATGTCCCCATCCATATACCCTATAATTATCCCAGGCATGTTTCATCATCTGAGAAAAGAAAAATTATAATCCATCAATTAACATCACTCACAGACCGTTATTTCATCGATCTATATCATCTATCACTGCAGCCTTACCCATTCTTCCTGTTATCTCCTGTATCAGAATATTATTCTATTAACATTTTTTTACTAGCGTGATAACCCACATCATCATGTTTAACCTCAGTCTACACAAGAGAAGGAAAACTTGGGTATAAAAGACAAGTTCTTTTTATTGGGGAAGAAGGTGTCTGTTCAGCACTCTTTCCTTTGAGGAACTGCCAATTCTTTGGGGAATAGCTCCCCTTCCCTCCCTGTGATCACGACGGCACTGTCAATCAAGGGGCTCTGATTCCACAACCAATTACTAGAGAACTCCTTACCCTTAGGCTGAAGATCAGCAAAATTCTTCTTTAAAATAAATACTTCAGGCTTTGCAGTCCATACCGTCTCTAGCAATTACTTAACGCAGCTACCATAACACAAAAGTAGCCTTAGACAATACATAAACAAATGGATATACCTTCTCCAACTAACTTTTATTTTTAAAAAATAGACAGCAGGCAGAATTTGGCCTGTGGGTTGTAGTTTGCCAACCCTGACCTAATCACAGTGACTAGGTACCTGTGATTCAAGTAGTGGCAATCAAGTCCTTTTATGCATATTGTTATAGACACTAGGAGATAAAGGGACTCTCTCATTTTACAATCTCAAGGTCTGTGTAACACATTATCTTGGGCTGATGGGGGCTAACACTCTCCCAACATGGAGATACTAAACAAAAGGATAAAATGAATATTATTGCCAATAACACCTACAGACTTGGATTTAGCCAAGCTCGAAGCCCTAGTTTACAGCCACTTAGCTAGTAA